GACAAATCCATTTGTTCTCTAGGCTTTCTTAACTTGTTAATCTCACCCCAAAAACTTTTTCTTATTTTCAACAAAATTTGTTGATAACATCTCACCCACTCTCTCATTTGCTCTCTTTTTACATTGCTTCACCACTCTCTTAACTTCTCTCTTTTTCTCCATATACTCTTCCCTCCTTGCATCACTTCTACTTTGTAAAAACTTCTCAAAATGCTAACTTTTTCTCCCTTTACTACTCTCTTTACATCATCATTCCACCCAAACGCTCCTCTTCCCTCCTGCACCCACTTTCCTGTAAAACCCCAAACTTCTGTGAACACTCTAACACTACATTTTTAAACCTACCCCATTTCCTCTTCGACCCCATTGCCTATGCTCTCATTAAACCCATCTATCCTCCAATAGCTGTTTATATCTTACCCTAACTGCCCCCTCTTTTAGTTTATAAAACCCTTCACCTCTTCTCTTCCCTGATGCTTCTATTCTCCTTGTATCCCATTACCTTTTACTCTCAGTGTAGCTACAACTAGAAAGTGATCTGATTTATCTGTGGCCCCTCTATAAACATGTACATCCTGAAGTCTACTCAACAGTCTTTTATCTACCAATACAAATCCAACAAACTACTGTCATTTCGCCCTACATCATATGTGTATACTTATTTTTTCTCTTTTTCTTAAAATATGTATTACCTATAACTAAACCCCTTTTTCTATACAAATTTTCAATCAAAGGGCTCCCATTATCATTTACACCGGGCACCCCAAACTTACCTACCACACCCTCTCTAAAAGTTTCTCCTACTTTAGCATTCAAGTCCCCTACCACAATTACTCTCTCACTTGGTTCAAAGGCTCCTATACATTCACTTAACATCTCCCAAAATCTCTCTCTCTCCTCTGCATTCCTCTCTTCTCCAGGTGCATACACGCTTTTTTATGACCCACTTCTCGCATCCAACCTTTACTTTAATCCACATAATTCTTGAATTTACACATTCATATTCTCTTTTCTCCTTCCATAACTGATCATTTAACATTACTGCTACCCCTTCCTTTGCTCTAACTCTCTAGATACTCCAGATTTAATCCCATTTATTTCCCCCACTGAAACTCCCTACCCCCTTCAGCTTTGTTTCGCTTAGGGCCAGGACACCCAACTTCTTTTCATTCATAACATCAGCAATCATCTGTTTCTTGTCTTTCCGCACTACATCCACGCACATTTAAGCAACCCAGTTTTATAAAGTTTTTTCTTCTTCTCTTTTTTAGTAATTGTATACAGGAAAAGGGGGTTACTAGCCCATTGCTCCCGGCATTTTAGTCGCCTCATACGACACGCATGGCTTACGGAGGAAAGATTCTTTTCCACTTCCCCAATGGACAATAGAAGAAATAAAAAAGAACAAGAGCTATTTAGAAAAAGGGGAAAAAACCTAGATGTATGTATATATATATATGCATGTGCGTGTCTGTGAAGTGTGACCAAAAGTGTAAGTAGGAGTAGCAAGATATCCCTGTCATCTAGCGTGTTTATGAGACAGAAA